CGTTGCTGATCTCCCCCTCGACGTTCTCGATCCCGCAGCGTGCTAGCGTCTCTATTACCGCCGACGGCTTCACAGTAACCGTCGAAGAGGCCAGATGTCTCACTGGTGAGCGTTCTTTTGGTCCGCGATGGATCGCAGCAGATGGCTCGTTTGGGCATTCTTAACGCGACGCTGGATATGAAGTCCTCGCGTGCGGTGCCGCCGTGTCCGGAGCTTCGCGATTTGACCGCTATCTTCTCGGCAATATCACTACCAAAGGTTCTTCCAAGCCGCCCGTAGTTGTGGTCGGCCACTCAGGTCACCGGGCTGGGCCTGCACGTGTATCCACAAGTCGTTCGTGCTTCTACTGAAATCGATTGACCCGGAAACTGGTCGCTCGTTTCCAGATAGGTGTATACAGCCGTCGACCTACTACGTAAAATGCGCGTGAGTGGCCAGGCGGTTCAATGTCCATAGCCAGCTTGTTCGGTTCACCTCTAAGGTCGCCGCATAGAGCGCTGAGAGGGTTAACTGATAGCATATACGAGCACTCGGCTCGTGCACACCTCCAAATGTTCACGTCTTTCTACGCTGCTCCAAGTGATGCGCCTGCGCCAATTCTGAGTATGAAAGACTATCTGTGAATTTTGTGAAGGGCTCATCGACGTGATAACGAGTGCCGGAAACATAGGATCTTCGCTTGTTTGAGCGTAGTAGGCGCTCGCAAAATCATGCATTTCCTTCGCATTTCCTTGCGGTCAGCCTGCGCCGTTACTCGTGGTGTGAAGAAACGATGTATGGGCCGTTGTCCATTCCCTCGTTTGCGAGCTTGACAATGCAGGGCCGAACAAGCGACTCCCAGCCAACGGCTCAGGTCGCTTGGGCGGTCCTCGTGTCTCTCACCAACGCTCTAAGAGGCCAGCATCGTGCATTTGCCTCACAACACGGGCTGATCATTTGTTACGAACCCTGCGACGGAGCACCTCCTTCCTGGATGTTTATACTTCCCGCGACGGTTGGGATCGTAGCGTTCTGTCATGGATCTGCCGGCTAAACAGCCGTTCTGTGAAGCACATTCATTCGAACGGCCCGAGAGCCTCTTTGTACATACTAAGAACTCGTGCAGCGCTACGCGACTGTTGGTCCGCGTTTGGGATACGCCTCTAGTCATCAGACCAGCAGAGCTACTGTCACGCACGCGAGGTTACAGAGAGCCCACTTGTCGGCCAAAGCTCTGTCTGACAGCGTGTGGGAGGCTCGGGCGTGACATACAGACCCAGACGGTCGTCCACGTTCATTATGCGCCTTTGGACTTGATCTGCTTCATCTCTTCCCCGCAAACTCACACGTAAAGCGTTCCCGGCCCTATCAGGTGCAAAGCTATTCCGGGGTTGAATTGCCTTGTCCATGGGGCCTTGAGCTTCTGGCGGGACGTGGCTGGGCCGTGCAGCCTGGGCGTTGGCGTCATAGGGAAACCTTCCCTCGGACGCGCCCGATGGGTTCGCGAACGTACGTTTCTCACCGGGTGAAGCGCGGATGAATGCGTCTTCGGTGCTTCGCGCCTGTGGAAGAACCCTTCACGATAACATGTGCGTCTGCGCGCGAGCGGTGCGTCGATTGCGCGGCGCACGGTGATGAGAGTCTTTATGAATGTCCGCCGGTCTCGCCCCACGGGTCCCTGCTGATCGCGTTATATCCGTCGTGTTCTGCATGCCTCTCACGCAACGTAACGCTGACCCTATGTCCCGCAGCGACTGCCTTTGTCTTCAGCCACGTCTTCGACGAGTTCGTCTACAACCCTGATGCCGCACGGCCCTCACAGCCGTCCCAGGACGACGATGACGACGAAGTGACCACAACGGCGTTCGACATCCCTCTCGGCACCCTTATGGACTGCCTCAACGTGTTCGGCACAGCGGGTGCCTCTAGCACTTCACAGAAGAAGAAGAAAACACGCGAGGACGGGGAGGACTCCGACGGCGGCGGTGGTCGCGCGGATAGGAAGGGCAAGGGGAGGGCGGACGCAGGGGACGCGGGAGGAAACGCGCGCCTCGACCAGTGGTTTGCCCCTGGCAAAGGCACAGGCATGCGCATGTCGTACGCGGGGCCTGGCCATCCTTTGACGTTGCTCGTGTGAGTACGGGGC